CTGCTCTTGAACTCCTAGCCCCAAGCAGTCCTCCCTCCTCACCCTCCCAAAGTGCTGGGATTACAGGCATGAGACACTGCACCCAGCCAACAGACTGAGCATTCTTTAAAAGCACTTTCCAATTTAGTTTTCTCTGCTAAGTGCCATCTGACTACTAGATGTCTCTCCTTAATGTGTCTTAGAGACACTTTGAACTAATGTCTACAAACCTGCTATTCCTCTTAAATACCTTAACTTAGTGAATGAAACCCCTTCCTCTCCCCACACATAGGATACAAGTTTAAAGTGTCTGATCTATAAATTTGATCACATCACTGTTTAAGTCCTTCAGTGGTTTCCATCGCCTACAGTGTTTAGGACCAGTATCTACACATGCCTGCCTTGTCAGCCTCGTCTTTCACCTCTCAGGACCAGCACAGCAAACTTCTGCTATTCTTTTAAGAGTGATGTCCTCTGTGAAACCTTCTCTGACATTCCTGTAGCCCTTTCCAAGGCCAAGACAGATTTAAGAGCTTCTTTGCTTCTAGACCCAGTTGGTAAATTTAGATACCTCTTCTGCTTTCAGAGAGGAAACTCAGGTAAAGGTAACACTATTAATCCAGTTTTAGTTGACCTTCTGAGTTAGCAATGTTTCCTTATGTGAACCTAGTAATTAGGAATACTTTGATGCCTTTTAATGACAAAGTCTATTAACTGAGGGTCTCAAAATTAATAGCTTCTAGCAGTGGGTTACTAACCCTTTCAGCTTTATAGTGTGAAACCCAGTTTCTAAATGATTATATTTGACTCCTTTGCCAACCTTCATTGTATAGTAATTCTCACCAAGACTATACATCTTGGTCATCTCTGGAGTGCTCTACAGGCTTTTATATTCTCTGCAGGTAATCACATGCCTAACATGCCCTTAGAAGGGTTAGAGTCTTCTTTTTTCATATTGCAAGACACCAGGAATGCTGTGGACGTGGTGATTAGATATAGTGTGATGGCCACAGACACCAGATACTATGCCTGTATTTCTCTCAGGAAATAGAGACCAAAATAGAACTCCTTCCTTTGATGAGAAAAAACTTCTTTAGGGAAAGGGGGAATATAAATACTATAGGATGCTAAATATGTCTTTTCCTGCTGTTGACCAGACCATAAATGAGGGGGTTGAGAGTTTCTGTTGTTAACAGTTCATATTGCCAAGAAAGGGCTTCTGGTTATCTGGGGGAACAATAAAGATTAGTGGCCTATTCTTAGATGTATTTATATATGCTCCAGTGTTTTTGCATTTTATTAAGTATTTCCTTTATATTTGTTGCTATTGAACACTGAAAACAGTTTATAATCTCTCAGTCTTAGTGGTGAACATAACTGGACATTTGAGCACAATCCTTGATCGGTTATATTCTCTCAACCCTTTTACTGTTACCCATGTTTGAAGACTGAATCCAAGCACTATCTCCTAGCTTCCTAGAAACCTTATTATTTCTTTGCAAGCAAATCAGACCATATAAATTAAAAAAAAATAATTCTAGATAGATGCAGGATTTTATGCCCAAGTCTTTGTGTTTGATTTTCAAAACAAAAAGCCTTAAGGAAATTCTGATTTTGAAAATAATTTTTTCCGAACATTTTTGTAGTCAAGGAACCATTTGAAACCCTTTGCCTGTAAATGATATAATCATTTGTTATTTTGTGTTTTGAGTTTGTCCTGATTCAGAGAATGTACTTCTTACATATTTATTCAGGACCAAGTTTGACTAGCTTTTGGCTGGGACACCGTAAGTTCAGTTCTTATTACTTACCTTTGTTTGTCCTTCCCACCAAAGATCTTCAAAAAGTTAATAGCACTGATGGTCATTAACAATAGCAATATACATGTATTTATTTAGCATCTGCTCTCTTCCCCAAGTATTACACTATGCCCTCGGTGGCATAAAGATGCATAAGGAATGTGTTCATGCAATTTGCTACACTGCACAGGAAAAAGGGGAAATAAGGTCTGTGTACAGAACTGTATAACTCTAGGTTCTAAACTGGAACAGTAGTGTGGAAAACTAATGATGAAATCTGTTCTAGCTCATGATTGATGTCTTTGCAGAAACCTTCCGGATTATTCTTTCAAGTTCCCCAATATACAAATTCAATGAAAATGTACCATAGGATTCCCTTTGAAAACTGGAGATTTTTGAAGTCTTTTTTTTGTTTTATTAAAAGCTCCATTGAAGTATGATTGACATATAATAAACTATGCATATTTAGTGTGCACCGTTTGATAATGTTTAATATTTATAAATACCCATGAAACCATCACCAATACCAAGATAATGAATGTATCTATAATCCTCAAAGTGTCCTCAGACCCCTTTGTTATCCCTGACTCCTGCCCCTTTTACCCTCCTGTCTTATCCCCAGGGTTCTGCTTCTGGTCATTATGTGGAGCTCACATTTTCTAGAGTTTTATACAAATGGAATCACACAGTGTGTGCTCTTTTTTTTGTCTGGCTTCTTTCACATAGCTTAAGTGTTTTGAGATCATCCATGTTGTTTGTACATTGATAGTTTGTTTCTTTTTACTGCTGAGAAGCATCAGAAAGTACTTTACAAAAACTCATACTTATGCCCACAGACATATTGACCTCAATATTTTTATTTTAAACATGGTTTTAAACTATTTTTTTGCTCTCTAAATCTGTAATCTTTAGGAAATAATATATTTTTGTCTGAAATTAAGCCATATCTATAGTTTCATTTATTTTTTTGTTGTTGCTAAATTTTTAGTAAAATTAAACCTAACCTTAATTTTAAATTTTAATGGCACTTATCTCATAACTTTTTCATTATCTATCACTTCTTCAGTCTTTGTATTACCCACCAGTTTATCACATCACCTTAAGTATACAGCAGATCCTCTGCTCTCTAACTTTCAGACTTGCGGAACCTAGCTAGCATCATCAGGAAATGACTTCCCGTGTAACCTATTTGTACGTAAGGAAGCCTTTAGGGAGAACGTAGCAAACAAAAAGGCCCTTCTCATCCTGTTATTGAGTAGTTTGGTGACTGTTTTTATCATCATTATACACACTTCTCTGCCTAACGTATCAGCTCTCTTAGAAACTGCCTTCTTCAAATTTGGCCAGCTTACCAAGTACCCTGCTGGAATCAATACTAAAAAGCAAGCTATTGACAATATATGTGCCAGTAAATGACCATCACCTTTAAATGTAAACCATTTAGCATGCTGTCATTTTAGTTGCTCTTTTAGTTCTAATTTTACAGCTCCACTGTGGTACATGGCTTCCTGATCTGCTGGTTTAGAGATATAAATTAGACTTCCCCTTTTGGCTTGCCTGTTGTATTTTGACTTGTTTATTCCCTGATTTGGTATCCTTCACTATCTTAAGTGAGAAACTACATCTGCAGCTTTAATTTTGGATGGCCAAACCACACTCTTTCTCTCCTACCTTTTTTTGGTCCTAACTAGGAGAGAGGAGGATCAAGGATACATCCAACATCTGTTGCTGGGCTTTATGGCAGTTTTCTGGATTACGGCAAACCACTTAGCAGAAGTGGAAAATGGAAAAAACTCCCTCTCTGGCTTTCCCTCACAGGATTTTCTGTGTCCAGTTTCTGTCACGTGGCTGTCTAATTACTAGCAATCTTGAGCGATTGTGCTATCCTCCGGACTTTCAGGCACTATCCATGTTGTTATCCTTCCCTCTTTTTCCAGAACAACACTTTTGCACAGATCACTCCCCCAGACCCTGCTAAAACATCTGCAAATAAACCTTTTTCTTTCTACCTAGAGAAATGAAATGATATCTGGTAACTTTTGTGAATTCATGACATCTAAGTCTTTCATGTGACCAATTTCTAAAAATTGGTTTTCCCTTGTTTTCAAATGGTGATGTGGCCTCTAAAATTACAAATCACGCCGTCAGGGACTTGGTAGACCTGCCTGTTGTATTGTTGGTACTTGGTCTTAACTCTTCAGAGTACTCATCTGATTCTTTCCGATTGTGTCCTACCTCCTGGTGTTCTAGTTGCTTAGTCACTTAACTTTTGGGCTCTAATATAATGTTATAGTTAATGGTGAAATGCCAGTTATGTACCTATATTTTTGTTTTTCTGAAGCTCTTGGCAAGTGTTTATATTTTATCTCTCCTTTCTCTTAGCAAGAACTATATTACCCTCAAAAGCATATTTCTGCTGGGTTTTTTAGTAGAATTGATAAAAATGGACAATATTACCCACATGATTAAGATTCTGATGCGGGGTTTCTAGTTTTTCCAAAAGTAACTCAAGTCATTTCACAAACCAAAGGAAGTCTTATCTTACTCCTCTGTGTGTCCTAGAAAATTTACATGCTTCCTCAGTTTCCCTACCAGAGAGTTTTAAAAGAGATCACTTTAAAATCGTAACTTTCCTATAAAAATCACAAAAGAGTGCATTCTATAAAGGTTTTATTTTCTCTGACTTTTTAAGACTTAAGTATTCTTATTCCCAATCTAAATTTTAAATTCAATCTAACCCTTTATGTTTCTTACATTTCCTGTACTGTAAAGTCTCCTTGTCCTGAATTGTGCTTCTTGGTCTTTCTGATGGACATAAAGTGGGTTCCTTGTGAGACAGGAGATTCTGAAGGGCTTTTAAATGAATAAAGATAGTCTATATAATGAATGTGAACCGGGTGGGATTTTATTTCAAGACACTATGGAGAAAATATGTTGTAGGTATACAACATATATCAAAAGCAGTGGTTTGTGCCAGGGCTGGAGTTTCATGAGTGGTTATTGTACAACATTTACTAGCAGTAGGTGATTTTTGTTTGTTTTGATCTTAGGTTCTTAGAATGTCCTGACTTTGTTTTTTTCAAAGCTAACTCTTTGGATAATAACATTGACATTATTAACAGCATGATAGCCCTAACATTGCCTGGACTTTAGTTACCATGATCTAATTTCTTACATGAAAGATATGTTAAGGTTTTTTTTTTAATTTTTTTCCTATTTTAGATCCATTTTTCCAATCCATCCCTCCTTCAGAATCATTGCCTTGGCAGAACCCCCTGTTATCGGAAGCACAACACACCAGTGGCTGGGACCAGAATTCTTAACCATGTTCTTTTTCCATTACATGAAACCACTGGTGAAAAGTGAAGAAATCCAAGTGATTAAGGAAAAGGTAAGAAGAAAGCCAATCTTAGTCTATTTTCTGCAGCTAATCTCTTTTTAAGGCACTCTGATACACAGGCCAAAGTAAAGTTAGACATTTTTAGCTTTTTCTTCCCATTTACTCCCAAATTTCCTCATACAGTGGTGAAGGTCAGTGGTTCTTAAACTTCCACATTTTTTAGCATCATCTGGAGGACTTGGTAGAACACAGGTTTCTGGGCTCCATCTCCATAGTTTTTGAGCTACTAGATCTGGGATGGTATATTAAACTTTTTATTTCTAACAAGTTCTCAGGTGATACTGATGCTGCTGGTCTGGGAACCACAGATGTGGCCTGTCTTGCCTCTTTCCTCAGGTGGAGGCCAGTTTGGAATCCCTTTTACTTTTCTATTTAGTCAAAGGTGACTATTTTAAGTCCCTATTATAAAGGGAGGCCAGACACATAAATAGTAAGTAGTCCTGGTCTCTCAAGACTGTAATGTATCCTGTACTTGCCTGATTAGTACTTTGATGACTTCTCGTGTGTGTAATCCATTATTTCAATGTGTGCCTTAATCAAGCATTGTGGTTAGCACTTCTAGAGTTTTAGAACTGCACTCTTCAATGCAGTAGCGCTAGCCACGTTAAATTATTATTATTATTATTACTATTTGTTTGAGACTACGTCTTGCTCTGTTGCCCAGGCTGGAGTGGTGTGATCTCGGCTCACTGCAACCTCTGCCTCCTGGGTTCAAGGCTCCCGCCCCAGCCTCTCAAGTAGCTGGGACTACAGGTGCACACCACCACACCTGGCTAATTTTTCTATTTTTAGTAGAGACAGGGTTTCACTATGTTGGCCAGGCTGGTCTTGAACTCCTGGCCTCAATTGATCTGCCCACCTCGGCCTCCCAAAGTGCTGGGATTATAGGCATGAGCCACCACGCCTGACCATGTTAAATTAATTTTTTAAAAATTTGGCCAGGTATGGTGGCTGACTCCTGTAATCCCAGCACTTTGGGAGGCCAAAGGGGGAGGATCACCTGAGGTCAGGAGTTCAAGACCAGCCTGGCCAACACGGCGAAACCTTGTCTCTGCTAAAATACAAAAAGTTAGCCAGGCGTGGTGGTGTGCACCTGTAATCCCAGCTACTCGGGAGGGTGACACAGGAGAATTGCTTGTACCTGGGAGGTGGAGGTTGCAGTGAGCCGAGATCACACCACTGCGCTCCAGCCTGAGTGACAGAATGAGACCCTGTCTCAAAAAAAAAAAAAAAAAAAAAATTATGTTTCTCAGTCACTTTTCAAGTACTCAGTATCTACATGGGAGCTTTTGGCTACCATATTAAACAGCATAAATACAATGCTCATCATCATAGAAGGTTCTATTGAACAGTACTTTTCTAGATCACTAATTAGTAACTTTCTATTTAAATACATTTATTCCCTTTGAAACATCTGAATGATCTTAATTGTAGGTCTTGTAAGCATGGTTGTAAATAAAGGCATAGGTTTTAGAGTTTAACTACTTGGCTCTCAATGTGAAATCCACTACTTATTAGCTTCCAGATCTTGAGTAAATTACTTAGTCATAGTTTCCTCATCTAAAAATGGGGATAATACTATTTATTACATCATAGGATTGATTTAAAGAATAAATGAAAGAAAGCATATGTGGACTAGGACTTAGCATTTAAAAAAATTCTAATTACTTACATGACCAATGAAACCCTAAGCAGTATTCTTCTAAAATTGTCACACTGTCCTAGTCATTGTTTTAATATCTTTTTTTGAGCTTTTAAAATTAAAACCTTAAATTTGTTATTCCTTAAACAAAAATTGCTTATAGCTTAATGAAATAGTTAATTGAAGTTTGTTATAGTTAAAAGCAATTGATATGTGTTATTTGGGCAGTTGTTCTTCCAAGTTCATTGATATGTTGATCATAGCCCTCAAGTATGTGTTTTACATGTTTTTGGAAAAATGGACACCTTGAATATCCATTCTTTAAATAAATGTACCTTATGTCACTTAGATATGTATGTAAGATTGCTGCTAAATAAAGGAACTTGGTTTCAGTAAGAAAACACCTAATTAGTACTTAAAATACCATGCTGAAGTTAACAAAATAGGAAATGATGATACATGAAAAGTTCTTTATGGACCAGTTTTAAATTGTGTAAAGGCTCCCTTCAGTTTTATCTTGGTGATAGAATTGTATATGGAGAAGAGTGTCTTGGTTTAAATTACCTGATTCTTAAAGAGAAAGCAGGGGTTTCAGTGTTTCCTAAGAGGTTGAATAAGCAACTTTATCTGTAAGTTAAATATGTAACCAACAATGAATGACTTTTCTAAACATGTAATTCTAATAGTATTTGCTAAGTAGTCATAATTTCTGATTGATTGATCACATATCCCAATTTATTTCTTCTGTTTGTCCTCAACTCTCTCAAAAAATAGGTCCCAAATGCACCTCAAGAAACTCTGGATAAATTATTATCATTTACACACAAACTCAGAGAAACACAAGATCCAACGGTAAGTCTAGGCTTTTTCCACGGGATTTTCTATTGTTGACATGCTGCTGGTTTTCTTTTCTTAGAATTCAGGACTTAAAATCTATTTTTTAAGATGATATTTTATTTTTCAGAATCCCTTATGCTATGCCTTTGTTTTATGCATATGGTTTACTCCAGTTTCCTTGATTTTAACATTTCTTCCAGCTGCTGCTCGCTGATGTTGTAGAAAGAAACTTGTAGCTGCAGAGTACTTCATGTTCATGGGGGCTTCTGCTCTGTCTCCTCTGTCTCCTACGCTGAGCAGTGTTATCTATTCTAATAGCTTCAAATACCTACCACAAGTTAATGCCTACATCTTTATCTTTTTCAGCTTCTAACTTCTCATTTCTGATTGACTTGTATTTCCATTCCCAGATGGCATGTTAGAAACATAGAGGGCTGTCACTGTTGAACTCTGTGAGTCTCAGTGTTCTCATCTGTAAAATGGGAACAGTACCATCTACCTCATAAAATGGTCTCAATGATTAAACATAAAAATGTATGTGAAGAATCTACTTCTTAGTAACTGCTTACTAAACGTTAATTTCTTTCACTTTTCCTCTGGATACACTGAGATCATTGTAAATTCACATATCTTATACAACTAAACTGTCTTTCAACTTTAAATCTATTCCTATTCTTGATTTAATTTCCTGGCTTTGTTAATAATCTAGCTGCAAAATTACCTAAATTAGAAACCTTGACATCATTGTTGATTCCTTGCTTTCCTGCTGTCTTCACTTAATCTGAAAACAGATCTCACCAGTTTAGCATCTTGATGTCTCATCTGTTCTCTTATCTATTGTCAGTAACTGTCCTAGTAGTGGATTTCATAATCTTTCTCCTGGAATATTATATCCTCTTGACTGCCTTCTTTATCAATAATTCATTCATCATGTGACTCTCTAGTAATTTCCTTTTGTTGTTGTAACAAGTTACCATAAATTGATGGCTTAAGATAATAGAAATTTATTTTCTGTTTGTCTGGACAACAAAAGTCTGAAATCAGTATGACTGAGCCGGAATCAAAGTGTCAGCAGGACTGCACTCCATCGGAGGCTCCAGGGGAGAATCTGTTCCTTGCCTCTTCTGGGTTTTGGTGGCTGCCAGCATTCCTTGACTATTGCACTCACCATATCAATCCTGCCTTCATCTTTACATTACCTTCTCCCCTGTGTTTGTGTCAAATCCCCCTCTTTCTCCTTCCTTCAAGGGTATATAAGATTGCATTTAGGGTCCACACACATAGTGCAACATAGTCTCCACATCTCAAAATCCTTATCTTAATTTTATTTGCAAAGTCAATTTTGCCATAGAAAGTAACATTGCCAGTTTCCAGAGATTAGGATGTGGATTTTTGGGGGGATAAGGGTGGTCACTTTCTGGCTGTCACAGATCCCCTGTTAATTCCCCCTCTGGGGCCTCATTCCAAATACTTTCTCCTTTACCCATTGTTTTTAGCTACACTGGTGTCTTTGTTGTTCCTTGAACTTACTAGTGCCTGCCCCAAGGCCTTTGCCACTTGGTGTTTCCTCTGCCTAGATTATTCTTCCCTGGATAGCTGCATGTTTATTCACTTTCCTTTCGGGATTTGCTCAAGTGGTCCCCTTTTCTGTGAGGCCTTCCTGAAGCACTATAGAATCAAATTTCTATTCCATTTTATTTCTATCCCTCTTTCTGCTTTAAGGTTCTTTATAGGGTTTCTTACTCTTTTACATAATGTATGTTTTACTCACTAAGTTTTTGTTGTCTATCTTCCTTCACTCGAATTTCAGTTCCAGGATTGCAGGGTTTTTTTCTTTGTTCCCTGTAGTCTCCCCAGCATCTGGAACTTTGCACAGTAGCTATTCCTGATTTGCACAGTGTTCCTGCTGCGCAAAGTTCCAGATGCTGGCAGTACTACAGAGAACAAAGTTAGAGATGAGTAATGTATTCCACAAGTATCTGTTAAATAAATGGATGGATGAATCTTCCATATTGTCCCTGGAATGATCTTTCCCAAATCCATTTCCTAAGTTCTTCCCCTTGTTTAAAACCATTAAGGGATTGACTGTCTTTGCCTGTAGACTGAAGACAGCCTGCTAAACCTACCTGCTGAGTTCTCTCTAATCCTAAGCTGCTCATCAAGCCTCAGTTTCTACAAACTCTCTTGAAGCATTCTCAACTCTTCCCACACTTAGCTTCTTGCTATTTTCTAATCCCATCTATACTCAAATGTCTCTGCCTTAGATAATGTCTAGAATGTGCTTTCCCTCCATCCAGTTGTCCCTTCATTTCTCTGTTCTGTTAAGTCTCTCTCAGCCCCCTTAGGCAGCAGTAACTAATATCTCCAATCTGCTTTCATGACGCTTGACATATATTTCTGATGTAGACCTATTGCAGTTGTATTATAATTTACTTTTATTTCCCTGGTTGCTATTTGAACTCCTTGAGACTGTCTTATTCGTTCTTTTATTCCCATTTCCTATCCTGCTGGCTGGCACATAATAGACACTTAAATCTTTGGTGAATTAATGAATAAATTGATTAATTAAAATTTTATTAACAGATTGTCCCTAGAGTTTTCTGTCCTTTAGAACATGCTACATTTTTATTCTTTTATAAAAATGAAGAATAGAAAAATAATGTTTAATAATTTCTGATGAGAACCTTTATGTTTTTAAGCTGAAGTATTTCTAATCATGCTAATATGAACAAACCCTTTGAGGTGTACTCTTAAACTGTATAACCATGGTAACTAGGGGAATGTGCTTCATATCTTCACCCCCCCCCACTTTTTTTTTTGCAAGATAAAACTGCAGTTAGAAATTTGATATTATAAATGTTAAATACTTTAGGAATTTTTAAAGTATACTCTCAATTTTTAATTGATAATAATGTGAGAGCAGAGATTACCAAACCCTTTATTCAGCACTTAAATGGCTCAACACAAAGTTTATCTCTCATTTTCTCAACCCTGGTTATTATTGCAAACCATTTTGGTGCTTTCAACTAGAAGAACTGGAGAACTGGTGTTCAAATATATGCACATTCCTTATTGATCACTGGAATGAAATGTGAAGCCTGAATTCAGTGTCATGCTTAGAATGAGATTAGAATGTTATACCCTAAAAAATTGCCCTATGGTTTAACAGGACTCTTATAAGAATCCTCTGGTTGGAGTCATTTGTCAAATATTTTTTATGATAAATATAGGAATTTTTCATGGTCCTAGGTATTAAAAATGGGAATTTCTGAGTTATATTTGACTTTTCATATCAATCATATTGCCTGAATTTTATCCTCAATACATCTTTCTTTCTCATAGCAAGTCAATTGCCAAGTTTGTTGTATCCTACCTCTCCATTCTTGTTGCTATAACCTTACTGTCGGACTTTTTCCTTTTATAGGCTGATTATTGAAATAGCTTTCTGTTTCTTGTCTCAATTCTGTCTGTCCTTCAACTACTTTTTATACTGCTGCTAATTAAATTAGGAAGTAGGCTAGTAATAACCGGATTCTAAAATCATGTTTTGACTTTACATATAGCAGAATCCTAGTGCCTTTAAGAATAAAGCCAAACCCCTCAGAGTGTCATTCATAGGTCTTCGTTGTTTGAGAGCAAGCCTTCCAGCAGGACCTTCTAGTAAGGCTGGCCTGAGTCCTCATGTTCTACTTGTGGTTCCATTCCTTTTGCTTTCATGCCTTTGATCAGAGGATTTCTTGTGCCTATTTGAATATTTTAACTGCCTATAACAACTGCCTACTGTTCCACTTATTTTAGCATTGAAGTATATACTATTTTGAATTGTAATTTATGATTTATTATATTTGAATATTATCTCCATGTCTGGAATGCAAATTAATTGAAAACAAGAACGGACCTAATGTTTGCTTGTAAATGAGTTCTTTGAAACTTAGAATGTGTTTTTTAATAGAAGAAAGGATATGTGGTGGTCATTCTTCCAACCTAATTCCCAAAGGAAATATAATACTAATGTTGTAGCTGAAATGGAATACTAACAGCAGACCAGTATCTCATGGAGATGTGAAATACACAAGGAAGGATAAATTAATTTTTTTCTTCTTTGGGACATACAGAGATGACCTTAGGTGGAACATTAAAACAAGCAAATGTGCAGTGTGTCTTTGACATTCTCCCCTCATCCATTCTGAACCCTTTGTGAATTTCATAGTCCCCTTCTCCAGGCCCTCGAGTGCTCAGGGCCACTTTACTGCCCTTATCACCCTCTGTGACATTTCATACTGACCTGCCTTGCCCTCCCAAAGGTCCAGTTGCTTCAAAAGTGCTTCTGTCCTCTGGTTTTCAGTGAAAATCACTGTCTTCTAATACTGCTGATATAAGTTAGGAATTAGGCCAGTAATAATCTTATTTACTAAATATATGCTAATATGTAAGTCCCATCACCTTTGTCTGCTGGGTTTTTTGTTTTCATTTTGAAGAGGCTGACTTTTTAAATAACAGTTGTTGCCATTTGTTGAGCACCCATATGTGTGTGACATGTGCTGAGAACTTTAGAATCATTTTCTTTTTTCTTTTTTTTTTTGAGACGGAGTCTCGCTCCGTCGCCCAGGCTGGAGTGCAGTGGCGGGATCTCAGCTCACTGCAAGCTCCGCCTCCCGGGTTTAAGCCATTCTCCTGAATCAGCCTCCGGAGTAGCCGCGACTACAGGCGCCCACCACCACGCCCGGCTAATTTTTTTTTTTTTTTTTTTTTTTTGTATTTTTTAGTAGAGACGGGGTTTCACCGTGTTAGCCAAGATGGTCTCGATCTCCTTACCTCGTAATCTGCCCGTCTCGGCCTCCCAAAGTGCTGGGATTACAGGCTTGAGCCACCGCGCCCAGTCTAGAATCATTTTCTAATTTAACCTTCATAACAACCTTAAAGGTGAGGGCATTACTATTGCCATTTTAAAGGTGAGAGAACTGAGGCTTGGAAAGGTTAAGTAATTTGCCAAGGTCACACAGCTAATAAATAGGATACCGACTTATCTGATTCCAAAGCCTATAAACTTTACCATTATATTATGCTGCCTGCCAAAAGGATTTCAACAAATATTTATTGAGTACTTACCATGTCCTGAGTTCTATACTAGCAACTCTATTCATGGAATTTTGGGAAATGTAAGATAACAAAGTGAAATTATTCTGACAGCATAGGGGAAGGATTCAAAACAGCAAGCTGCAACACAAGTGACAAATTGGTTGACACCTCTGTGGTCAACAGCCTAAATTGTTTACAACTCTTTTTGGCTATTTTTAGAAACCACAGATTTGCTTAAAGCTTTAAGCATTTTCATGGTATCTTAACACCTTGGCTTTGTGTAAGCAGAAAAAGTGAACAGTCAATCGTACAGCTTAAGTCCAGTGTGACCTTTGTTATATAACATCCTTCCCCCATTGCCCCTCCTGCCTCCAACTTAGCACAATTAAAATACATTAATTAAATTTAATTGATAAATACTTTAAATAGATTTTTTAAAAACTATCTTCAAGGATGTTTTAAGTGTGAATTGGTTTCTGTTTATTTTTATTTGTAACAGTAATTTAATTTTTAACAGTAATTATTTTTAACAGTAATTAATTACTTTAACTTTGGCCTTACCCCTTCAGGAATAATGAATTCTGCTATAATATCCATCTAAAGGGACTTTAGCAACTTGAAACAAGACTCTTAACACAATACATTTGTCTTTTGATAGGCACAATCATTAGCGGCCTCACTTTCTACCAGGCAACTGTTGCGAATTTCTCGTCGGCTGTCACAGTATCCTAATGAAAATCTTCACAGTGCTGTTACTAAAGCCTGCCTTTCCAGGTAAATATATTCTTCTTTCTTACTGCATGTTAAGTTTCTGGATCTTCACTAAAACTATAACATAAGTTTAACTGATGGTGTATATTCCCAATTCTTCAAAATATATTGGTCTGAATATAGAGCTATCTCATCCTTGCCTTCACTGCTTAGAACTTATTTAGTACAACATATTATCTTTTAAAATTAATTTTTGGTGCCAGCATCACCAGAAGCAGATGCTGGTACTATGCTTCCTGTACAGCCTGCAGAACCATGAGCCAAAATAAAACCTCTTTCATTTATTAAAAAAATAAAATAAAATAAAATAATTTTTTTTTTTTTTTTTTTTTGAGACAGAGTCTCGCTCTGTCACCCAGGCTGGAGTGCAGTGGCTGGATCTCAGCTCACTGCGAGCTCCACCTCCCAGGTTCACGCCATTCTCCTGCCTCAGCCTCCCGAGTAGCTGGGACTACAGGCGCCCGCCACCTCGCCCGGCTAGTTTTTTTTGTATCTTTTAGTAGAGACGGGGTTTCACCATGTTAGCCAGGATGGTCTCGATCTCCTGACCTCGTGATCCACCCGTCTCGGCCTCCCAAAGTGCTGAGATTACAGGCTTGAGCCACCGCGCCCGGCCTTAAAATTAATTTTTATCCTTAATTTGTATAGGTACACCAGTCAGTATGTATATTTATGGGGTACATGAGATACGTTGATACAGGCATACAATATGTAATAATTACAACAAGGTGAATGCCATGTCCATCATCCCAAGCATTTATCATTTCTTTGCATTATGAACATTCCAATTATACTTTTAGTTACTTAAAAATGAACAATAAATTATTGCTGACTATAGTTACCTTGTTGTGTTATCAAATACTGGATCTTCATTCTATCTATGTTTTTGTACCCATTAACCATTCCCTTTGCCACTTCCCACTACCCTTCCCAGCCTCTGGTAACCATCCTTCTACTCTCTCTTTATGAATTTCATTGTTTTAAGTTTTAGCTTTTAGAAATGAGTGAAAACATGTGAAGTTTGTCTTTCTATGCATGGCTTATTTCACTTTAAATAATGTGCTGTAGTTCCATCCATGTTGTTGCAAATGACAGAACTTCATTCATTCTTTTTTATGGCTGAACAGTACTCTCTTGTGTGTGTACAACATTATCTTTATCCATTTGTCTGTTGATGAACACTTAGGTTGCCTCCAAATCTTAGCTATTGTGAATAGTGCTGCAATAAACATGGTAGTGCAGACCTCTCTTCAATGTATGGATTTTCTTTCTTCTGGGCATATACCTAGCATATACCTAGGATTGGTGTGTCATATGGTTGTTCTAGTTATTGTTTTTTTTTTTTTTTTTTTTTTGAGGAACTCCATACAGTTCTCTATAGTGGTTATACCAATTTACATTTCCACCCACAGTGTACAAGGGTTCCCTTTTCTCCACTTACTTGTTGGTATTTGTTATTGCCTATCTTTTGGATAAAAGCCATTTTAACTAGGGTGAGGTGATACCTTGTTATAGTTTTGATTTGCATTTCTCTAATCATCAGTGATATTGAATACCTTTTCGTATACCTGTGTGCCATTTGTATCTCTTCTTTTGAGAAATTTCTATTCAGATCTTTCATGCATTTTGTAATCAGATTATTAGACTTTTTCCTACTGAGTTGTTTGAATTAATATATTTTATCAATTCCTTGTCAGATGGATGATTTGCAAATATTTTTTCCCATTCTGTGAGTTGTCTCTTCACTTCATTGACAATTTCCTTTGCTGCAGAAGAAGCTTTTTAACTCTATGTGATCCCATTTGTCCCATTTGCTTTGGTTGCCTGTGCTTCTGGGGAATTACTTAAGAAATATTTGTCCTGACCAACATCTTGGAGAGTATTTCCAATGCTTTTTTTTAGTAGTTTCATAGTTTGAGGTCTTAGATTTAATTCTTAATCCATTTTGATTTGATTTTTGTATATGGCAAGAGATAGGGGCCTACTTTCATTCTCCTACATATGGATATCCAGTTTTCCCAGCACCATTTATTGAAGAGATTGTCCTTTCCCCAGTGTATGGTCTTGACACCTTTGTCAAAAATGAGTTCACTGTAGATGTATGGTTTTGTTTCTGGATTCTCTATTCTGTTCCATTGGTCTATGTATCTATTATGCTGATACCATGCTGTTTTGGTTACATAGCTCTGTAGTATAATTTGAAGTCAGGTAATCTGATTGCTTCAGTTTTGTTCTTTTTGCTCAGGGTGGCTTTGGCTATTCTGGGTCTTTGTGGTTTCATATAAATTTTAGGATTATTTTTCTATTTCTGTGAAGAATGTCATTGATATTTTGACAGGGATTACATTTAATCTGTAGATTGTTTGTGGTAGTATGGACATTTTAACAGCAGTGATTTTTCCAATCCATAAACATGGAATATCTTTCCATTTTCTGGTGTCCTCTTCAATTTCCTGCATCAGTGTTTTATAGTTTTCATTGTAGAGATCTTTCCCTTCTTTGGTTAAGATTATTCCTATGTATATTATTTTATTTGTAACTGTTGTAAATTGGATTACTTTTTAAAATTTCTTTTTCAGATTGTTCAGTGTTGACATACAGAAATGCTACTGATTTGTGTATGTTGATTTTGTGTCCTGGAACTTTACTGAATTTGTTGATCAGTTCTAATAGGTTTCCGTTGGAGTCTTTAGGTTTTTTTTTCAAGCGTAAGCTCATATCATCTGCAAACAAGGATAATGTAATTTCTTCATTTCCAGTTTAAATACTGTTCATTTCTCTCTCTTATCCGATTGCTCTAGAGAGGCTTTCCACTACTGTGTTGGATAACAGAGGTGAAAGTGTGTATCCTTGCCTTGCTTCAGATCTTAGAGGAAAGGCTTTCAGTTTTCCCATTCAGTATTGATATGGGTTGGATCTGTGTCCCTGCCCAAATCTCGTGTCTAATTCTAATCCCCAATGTTGGAGGTGGGACCTGGTGGGAGATGACTGGATCGTGGGGTTGGATTTCCCCCGTGGTGATGGTCTCATGACAGTGAGTGAGTTCTCATGAGATTTGGTTGTTTAAAAGTTTGTGGCACCTCCCTGCCTCTCTTTCTCCTGCTCTGACAATGTGAAGTGCTTGCTCCCCCGTTGCCTTCTGCCATGATTTTAAGTTTCCTGAAGCCTCCCCGTAAAGCAAGAAAATGCCAGTGTTATGCGTCCTGTAAAGCACCATGAGCCAATTAAAATTATTTTCTTTATAAATTACTCAGTCTCAGATATTTCTTTATAGTAGTACAAAAACGGACTAACACAAGTGTGATACTAACTGTAAGTCTGTAATATATGGCTTTTATTGTGATGATTATTGTGTTGAGGTGTGTTCCTTCTATACTCAGTGTTTTTTTTAAAAAGTTTGTTTATTTTTATTTTATTAGTTATTTTAAATATGTAATCTCACGTTGTTGCCAGGCTGTATAGTTTTTGTCTTGAAGTCTATTTTGTCTGGTATAAGTATAGTGACTCCTGTTTTTTGTTTGTTTGTTTGTTTCATTTGACATGGAATATTTTTTTCTGTCCCTTTATTTTCAGCCTATGTATCATCGTATGTGAAGTGTGCTTGTTGTAGACAACAGATCATAGTGCAGTGGCTATTCACAGGTGCAATCTCCCTGCTGATCAACACAGGAGTTTTGACTGGCTCTTTTTCCAACCTGGGCCAGTTCACTCCTTAGGCAACCTGGTGGTTCCCCGTTCCTGGGAGATTACCATATTGATGCTGAACTTAGTGTGGATACCCAGTCAGTATAGTGCGTTACAACCCAGAATGCCTGGGCTCAAGCTATTCTCTTGCCTCAGTCTCCTGAGTAACTGGGACTACAGTGGTGCCCAGCTATCCTTATCATTTTGAGGGTTTTCATCATGAAGGGATGTTGAATTTTACAAAATTCTTTTTCAGCATCAGTTGAAACAATCATTTGGTTTTTGCTTTTCATTTTATTGATATGATGTATCACATTGACTGATATGCATGTGTTTATCCATGCTTGCATCCCTGGCACAAATCCTGCTTGGTCATGATGAATGATCTTTGTAATGTGTTGTTGAGTTTGGCTTGCTGGTATTTTGTTAAGGACTTTTTCATCAACATTTGTCAAGGATATTGGCCTATGGTTTTCTTATTTTGATGTGTCTTTCTCTGGTTTTGGTATCAGGGTAATAGTGGCCTTGTAGAACCAGTTTGGAAATATTCCTTCCTCCTCTATTTTTCGGAATGGTTTCAGTAGGATTGGTATTAGTTCTTTAAATTTTTGGTCAAATTCAGCAGGCAAGCGATCAGGGCCCAGACTTTTCTTTGCTGAAGACTTTTTATTATGGTGTCAATCTCGTTACTTGTTATTGGTTTGTTCACATTTTGTATTTCTTCGTAGTTCAATCTTGGGAGGTTGTGTATGTTTAAGAATTTCTCCATTTCTTCTTGGTGTTCCAGTGTATTGGCATATAGTTGCTCATGGTAGCATCTAATGATCCTTTGTATTTCTGTGGTAACAGTTCTAATGTCTCCTTTTTCATCTCTGATTTTATTTATTTGAATCTTCCTTTTTTTTTAGTTGGGGTAAAGGTTTGTCAATTTTATTTTTGCAAAAAACTAACTTTTCATTTCATTAATCTTTTGCATTTTTTTTTTTTTTTTGAGATGGAGTCTCACTCTCTCGCCAGACTGGAGTGCAGTGCGTGATCTCTGCTCACTGCAATCTCCGCCTCCCGGGTTCAAGCAGTTCTCCTGCCTCTGCCTCCCGAGTAGCTGGGATTACAGGCACGTGCCACCACACTCAGCTAATTTTTGTATTTTTTTTTTTTTTTTTTTTTTTTTTTTTTTTTTTTTTTTTTTCTGAGACAGAGTCTTGCTGTGTTGCCCAGGCTGGAATGCAGTGGTGCGATCTTGGCTCACTGCAACCTCTGCCTCCTGGGTTCAAGCTATTCTTCTGCCTCAGCCTCCCAAGTAGCTGGGACTACAGGCA